CTCACTCCAGGGAAAGGATACTGTAAAATCTCCATTCCCTCCCCACTGCAGGGAAGGATACTGTAAAATCTCCATTCCCTCCCCACTCCAGGGGTAGGATACTATAAAATCTCCATTCCCTCCACACTCCAGGGAAGGATACTGTAAAATCTCCATTCCCTCCCCACTCCAGGGGAAGGTTACTGCAAAATCCCCATTCCCTCCTGATCAGCTGGGACTCGGGAGGCAGATAATAGATGGAGGTGGGGCCAGTCAGAGGTAGTATTTACCAGTTTTCCGAACTTCTCTAAATTTCTGCTACCGGTTCTCCAAAACTAGTCAGAACCTGCTGAATACCACCTCTGATACTCTACTCAATAAATATTTGTCAGTTTCCTGCTAATTACTAATAATGATTCTTTACTCCTATCCAGGCAGTCAGAACTAAAATGATTGCCAAAACAGGGCCGCTGAGAAATTAGAGGGTAGTATGCATCTAGTCGAAAGATCTCTATTATTTGCAAAAGTACAAAGACATTTTTAAAAAGCAATGCCCCAATAATGAGTATCATTTAGAAGACGAAAAAAAACATAATACAGGAGTTGGAAATATATCCTCGCTGAAGGGAAAGCTAGCTAGAATATTGTCACAAGTCCCTTTTGTAAATAATGATTAGCACTTGTACTATTGGCTGCTTCATAGAAATAAATTGAAAATCACATTAACTGTACAATACCTAAACAGCACATCTTTAGTCTTTTCCTTAAAAATGACACAACACAGTGTCAGTGTTTTATAGGATGGTATCTAAATGCATGGTGTGCAATGTCCTTATTTCTGTGTAGTTATAATAATGTGGCTGCTTCCTAAATATTGCCGCTATTTTGAGTTGCTTGAAGTGGGAAATATCTCTTCCATTCAACCTTCTTCAGCATTAGCAGATAGTTTTCATAAGAATCAAATCTACAAGATTCAATTCCATTCTTATCAGCACTACCCTTTCTCCCTACGAGATCCAGCACCACTGAGCTCTTCAGAAGAGGATTGTCATCCAAAGTGCTGAGCAAGCCCACTACTCCCAGGGCCAAATAACTTATTCATGTAAAGCACTAGACTATTTTTAAAGCCTCCTTCAATTAAGGCGATGGTTTTGCAACTATTGAAACACTTACAATGCACTTAAATTTGCACCTTTCAATAATTTGTTGACAGTTCAAGACCTTGAAAATGTAGTGAAAAATTAATGATACAGGGAATAAGTTAAATGTAAATATTCTTGATGAGTCTTATTTGACCCAACAAAATGAAAAATTATTATTTTTCACTTCTTTTTCCATTTACCTTCAATTTAAAAGCCTTGAATTCCAATTTTGGGATTATTCGATGGAAAATGAATAGGAGGGGCAGAGGAAAAAAATAATATCTTAGATTATGTTTTGCTAAATGGTTTTCTTTTTCAGGGAATTAAAATACATCAAAGAACGTTCCAAAAATAATGTTTGAGTAAAAGTTCTAAACTCAATTGAAGAATTGATCCTGAACTTTCAATCAAATGCCAGTACAACTTCAGACAAGGCTTCAAAGATATAGTATTTTTAATAGAGCTAAAATATTACTCCTATTTCAATCAGGACT